AAGGGCAACATAACCTAACCTGGTTAGAGCAGAACACATCCAGTCACGGCCTTAGTGATCACTATGGTAGCGACATCTACAGTCTACAACCCTAATTAGAACCATTTAATTGTTTTACGATCGCCTTTGTTCTTCCCTTTGTTATGCCGAACACTGAATAAATAGAGGTGCGAGCCAGGAGCTCGTGGCCATTCTCCACTCATGTGATCTGTTGTTCACACTGATTTGGCTCCCGTACCCCAATACTACAATATCATTATGAAGACAATGTTCCTGTAAAATTTTGTAATTTACAAAGTTGTATGTGTTTTTGCATATCTGTTACATCACTTATTTCATACCTATGTAGTATGAAGTGCTGTTGTGTTTAAGGTAAAGACTGAGCGAGATGCTCTTCTACTCTTAATTTTTCTTTTACAAAGTTTTGTTTTTATATTTGTTTTACAAATCAAGACACACGTATGATTAGTAATGTCGCATTACTCCTTCTCATACTTTATATCATTATGAAGACAATGTTCCTGTAAAAATTTTGTAATTTACAGAAGTTGTATGTGTTTTTGCATCCCCATCTTATATATGTTGGTGTCGATGGAAATACAAATCGTTTTAAACTGTAAAGGTTGGAAGTTTTATTTAATAGTTTCTCAAACAATGCGTGCAATTGGCACTGACAAGTAAACACTTTTTTTTGAAACGGAACGTAAGACAATGGGACTGCTTCAAGGAAAAGTCACTTTGCATGCAGTGAAGGGGAGTAAGAAGATGGCATACACAGACATACAGCAGGAATTTTGTGCAAAGGATACACTTCTTTTGCTATGCAAGATAGCAACAGATTAGAGATCAAGAAAGAAAAGGCAAAAGTCGCATTTGCGAGATAATACAAAAGCATGGAAAAATAGATGCACAAAGCAATTAATAATCCACAGCAAACAAAAGCATTGGTAAAATAAAAAACAAAAAACACTCTTGCATCAAGAGGTCATAGAACAAAGCACGAAACTTTCACAGCAGGAAGAAGCAGGAAGAAGGCGAAGTAACGAGAAATCAACATACGAAGAAAGAAAGGCCAACAGGGGGACACAACTCTTTGAAACATAATGTGGTCATGTGCAAAACTAAGACATCGATCACATACACAAATTACAAAACCATTTTAACAAGACATAATTTAGAACTTGATAGATAATAATACTTACTTAAATACTAATGGATAGAATTAGGCCAGCACATAATAATAACATTTGAAACAAGAATCATATTTAAGAAAGCTTAGTTATTTCCCTACACAATTGTCAGGTAAGCAACAAACACCTAGATAAAACAAATTAATTCTGTACTTGAGCTATACAATAAAATAATCCTAAGGCATTCAGAACAAAAACATCAGCAGCAAAGAGACATCAAGATCAGAAGCTATGGTTACATGCAACAATATGGCGAAGAAGCAGCAGCATGTAACTTGCATCTAAAGAAAGTACTACTACTAATGCATTACAGGAGTTGAAAGGCAAAGAAACACTAAAACTGACCCAGCAAAATCTATAAAGTGCATCTCACAACTACAGAAGCTTCAAAAATATAGGCACATGCAAATTGTGAAGGGAATGTGAAAAATATATACATCTGAGCACATTTGAGAGCACCCATGAACAGAAATCTGTTTGGCCCCATCATCATCACAGACATAATGATGAAACAAACTCCACAATGCTAGAGAAGCAGCTTCAACACAAATGGAGAAGGCTAATTTATAAAATCTTTCGTGGAAGACAAATTTCAATAGAACTGTTATAACCCAACCATCATTGGATAGATACTGGAACATACCAGAAAAAATCAATAGCACGTATGTTACAAATAATTTCCTACTTTTAAAAAGGAGGGGACTTACAACACTAAAGAGGTCTGCTTTGATAATAGAAACATCTAAGAGAATACTAGCATAGAGTAACAAAAACATTGCCTAAAAAGACATTTTTACAGTACATTATAATCAATACTTAATGATTGGGAGATTTTGAACAAACAAGTGTAGTATAGGTAAAAAGTCATTTAAATATTACTTCACAACCAAAGGTGATGAGCCAGCTCATTCAAATACCTACTTTCCATAATCAAATTAAATCAACTAAATAAAGAGCAATGCCACATTCACAGATGCAAAAGCACACGTGCAAATCAAACACAGCTATCATAACGATGCATTAAAAGTTTTGAGCGAGGCCAAGCGAAAAGGTAAATGGAGCAAAATAACATAAGGCATTCAACGGGCAAAGCAAAAGGCAAAAGCACAACAAGCACAATTTAAAATGATAATGCAAAGCGGAGCAAAAACAATCTAAACAGAAATGACAGCCTAAAGATCCATGCATATTATAGTTTACCAAATTCATAAAGCAGCTATTATAAAGGAGTCAAGCTCATAACCATAGTTGTAAAGGTTTTTAAAGAAAACATATTTTGTGGAAAGTAAATCTAAACACTAAAACAGGCTCAGAAAGGTAAGAGCTGCAGCTTGAATGCAGATGAATAAGTTTCGCATGATGCAGTGTGCAGATAAAGATGGATCGTATTTTCACAACCATCCCAGTAACCTGGGCACGATCATTCTGTATGAACAAAAGAGAACAGTTACAAAGTTGACGAAACAAACAGAGCCTAATAGCTCACAATTTTATTAAAACAGGGCACTTACCTGCCATGGGTAACAAGCAATACTGGTGGTCGAGGCTGTTCCATCAATAATCTGACTCGATCTCCACGGAACCTACAACAAGAAATTAGTCGTCGTAAGTTCAACAAATGTTTTGAAAGCAGATTCTGCTGAGTCCAAGTAATTTAACTTTGGTACTCACCTCATGAGATTATAACACAGACTGGTGTCTCAAAGATCATGTACGTTCACTGCGAAATCACCATCCCCCGTTTCCCCCCGAAGAATCAATCCTCAGCTCAGGACCTGTTGACGTGAAAAACCAAATGATTAAAATCATCAAAATTCTTTGAAAATTTACTACGGAGGAAACGTTCGAGATTCATTGAGTGTTCTAAAGGAGTAATAGACAATGTTAGGCTGTGAGAAGCAGCAGAGGGCCCTAGGCAATAGCATAACCTCACTCTGTGTGAGAACATGATAGGAAACCGCGTTCGAATTCGATAAGTTAAGGACTCACCTCGGATTTTTACTAGAGACCCCTGGAACGACGTCTAACAGAGCTCGTCACGAAATCGCCACACCAAACATCCACCACGACAAAAGCACGTACTCTCTGCTCACCTGTTGACATGAAAAGAAATCAGACACAAATCGCGGAGTGTAACTCGACACAGGCGAGCTTTCAGAGGAGCAGTAGTTCGGATTAAAGTTGATCGTTAATTTGAGCCGGCCAACACATCGGAACATTGCAAAAATAAATGCAAGAATTAGAGAAAGATATGCCCCGCACCCTAAGCCCTTGAGCGACACGAACCTAACTGCCGTGCAATTCAATTCAAACGGCAGAGGCTCTCCGATTACAATAAGTGTATGAACAATCAGAATATATTAAATTCAAACTTCACGTTATTTACGACACATAATCCAACCACGAAGTCGTTCAAAGAAGTTTCTTCAAATTCGGGTAGGAGGGAAAATCAACACGCCGCCATGACAGTTATCCTCCTCAACTCTTCTACACTCCAGTATTGCCTATATACCAACCTTGAAACACGATCACTTTGGTGTTGGTGCAGCATTGGCTGCCTAACTCTACGGCGGTAAGCTCTCACGGCGTAGGGAAGTCCATGGTCCTCGTAGTTACGCTACATCGTGCTCTCGGCGTAGTCCACTGATACGGGGCTGGGCGCAGGCAGGGAAGTCTAAAAGACCATCTAACTGGGCTTTAGTTGAAATATGCTCGCAGCGGTCACCAACAATCGCCTTGTTCAATGGCATCTCCCCCCCCCCCAACAAAAAAACAACAACAAAAAACAACAACGGACAACACACTGAAGAGAAGCCAGCCGCGAGTGTAGGTGCGTAACACATGGTGTTTGGTACTGAGGTGTACACTTTGTGAGAAACTAGTGGAGTGCTTATCACTTGACCCTTTCGGGAAGCATTCGATAGCGAGAACAAAATAAACAGAGAGTCGCGTGTTTACATCACTTTTGCACGTGAGAAACAGTTGACCGCAAGTGTACTGACTACCACACACTGGAGAGAAACACAACGCGAGTGTGTAACACGCCCAGCCGTCGGGG